TTGTGTTTTCAAGTTTGGCTCGCAGTGTGTGCTCACTGAGTGCTGATTGGAAACTGAAGCCCTGGCCTCTGAACGTGGTGTCTGCGTGGAGTTGTCACTCAGGAAGTTAATATTTATTTCCTTTTGCCGTGTGCAGGTGGCGCTTTGCTGAGTTTCAGTACCTGCAGCCAGGGCCCCCCCGGCGGCTGCAGACAGTGGTGGTGTACCTGCCGGATGTCTGGACCATCATGCCTACTTTGGAGGAGTGGGAGGCCCTGTGCCAGCAGAAAGCTGCAGAGGCAGCTCCCTCAACCCAAGAGGCGCCAGGGGTAAGGCTCTGCCTTAGCCAGCAGCGGGGGAAGTAGGTGCCCTGATCCCAGGACCCAGAGGGTCTCATCTCGGCTGTTGTCACAGGAAATGGAACCTACTGAACAGGCACCTGACGCCTCAGAGCAAGTGGCAGATGCTTCTAGACGGAATGCAGAGACTCCAGAGGCCACCACTCAGCAGGAAACGGACACTGATCTTCCAGAGGCCCCTCCACCGCCACTAGAACCTGCTGTCATTGCACGCCCTGGCTGTGTGAACCTGTCCCTCCATGGGATTGTGGAGGATCGGAGGCCAAAAGAAAGGATCTCTTTTGAGGCAGGTGTCAGAGTCTTGGGGAGGCAGTGGGCTGGGATGTGTGGGCCTGGAGGAGCCTTTCTTTCTGATGCTCATGGACCCTGCCACCTCCCCATCAGGTGGTGGTGCTGGCTGAGCTGTTTCTGGAGATGCTCCAGAGGGATTTTGGCTATAGGGTTTATAAGATGCTGCTAAGCCTTCCTGAAAAGGTCGTGTCCCCACCTGAACCTGAGAAGGAGGAGGCGGCCAAGGAGGAAGCCACCAAGGAAGAAGAAGCCATCAAAGAGGAGGTGGTCAAGGAGCCCAAGGATGAGGTACACAATGAGGGCCCGGCTGCGGAGTCAGAGCCCCAGTTGGTGAGTACCCTCCTGCCCCAGGCTGCCATAGTGCTTGCCATGACCACGCACCTTCAGCCCCGGGCTCTGTTCTCACTGCTTCCCGCGCCCTAGTACATTACCCACTCCCTTGCTCAGCACGGACTGAGGCTGCATAGCTAGCAAGTGGCACATGTGGCATGAGGGAAGATGATAGTACAGGGCAGTGTGGCTGAGTGGCCTGACTGCACAGGAACCCCAGTCACTGAAAGGGTTTGACAGAGTGGGGTGCTTTGCTTGTCTGATGGTTAACTAGAAAATTTGTAAACGTTTTCTAAAACATGAGTCTCCTTTTTTCTTTTTTTGAGGTGGAGTCTTGCTCTGTTGCCCAGGCTGGAGGGCAGTGGTGCGATCTCAGCTCACTGCAACTTCTGCCTCATGGGTTCAAGTGATTCTCCTGCCTCAGGAGTAGCTGGGATTTCAGGCACCCACCATCATGCCCAGCTAATTTTTCTATTTATGTAGAGACGGGGTTTCACCATGTTGGCCTGGCTGGTCTTGAACTCCTGACCTCAGGTGATCCACCTGCCTCGGCCTCCTAAAGTGCTGGGATTACAAGGCATGTGCCACAGTGCCCAGCTGCTGCTTGTTTAAATACAATAAAGTAAATATAATTTCTTCTGGGACCAAGATCAACACCTGAGGAAAAGCCCAGGTGTTTGGTGATGCCCTGGCATGCTCTGAATGACAAGTAATGGAATTAAATACATGAAATGAGAGAGTGTCTGTAGAGCCCTCCACAGTGCCTGGGGCATAGTTGATATTCATGTGTCAGCCATGATTACTGTTGGTAATTACGGTAACTGCCTGCCTTCTCATCACCTTGGTCTGCTTCCCTAGAAGGAAGATGGGCTTTTGGCCAAACCACCCTCTGCTGGGGGAGAAGAAGAAGAAAAACCCCGGGGCGAGGCTTCCGAAGACCTGTGTGAGATGGCCTTGGACCCAGAACTGCTGCTTCTGAGGGATGACGGAGAGGAGGAGTTCAGTACGTAGAGTGGTGGGAGGGGAACTTGCAGGCTCGGGATGTGGCTTTCCTGTGGCCTAGCTGCTTTTCATTTGCAGACTGGGGCGGTCGTGGGCCCTGCTCTCCGTTTATCTTGGGCTTTCTGTAGCAGGAGCAAAGCTGGAGGATTCCGAGGTCCGTTCCGTTGCCTCAAACCAGTCAGAGATGGAGTTCTCTTCACTTCAGGACATGGTGAGTCCTCCTGTCAACCTCTCTGGGCTGCAGGGGTGCTCCTGGGGGAAGGATGCTTACCAGTGACTTTTCTCAATGGACCCAACACACAGTGTGGCCCTTGGCTTATGAAGGGCATGTTCATAGGCCAGGAGAACATCTCCATGTCGGTTAGTGAATCGGAGAGTAGTATTTGATCCTCTCTTGAAAGAGGAGCACAGGAGGTTCTTTTTTGAAAGTGCCCCAGAGAGGAAGGCTGGCTTGGGTGTGATGAACATCATCAACCAAGGCCTTGTTTTTTTGTTTTTTTGTTTTTTTTTTTAAGAGACGGGATCTTGCTATGTTGCCCAGGCTGGAGCACCATAGTTGTTCACAGGCATGAATGGGCTCAAGTGATCCTCTTGCCTTAGCCTTCTCAGTACCTGGGACTCTAGGAGTGCATCACTGCACGTGGCCTGAGCCACTGAATCCGGGCAGTAGAGCCACTGAGGGAACTTCCTATTTGCAAATCCTGCTCATCCTTGTTTTCTTTGCAGCCCAAGGAGCTGGATCCCTCTGCTGTGCTCCCCTTGGACTGTCTGCTTGCTTTTGTGTTCTTTGATGCCAACTGGTGCGGCTACTTGCACCGGCGAGACTTGGAGAGGATCCTCCTTACCCTTGGGATCCGGCTCAGTGCAGAGCAGGTACCTTTTTCTCTTTCCTGCCCCCAGCACACGGGCACAGGCCTGCACTTACTCCTGCTCCAGGTTCCTGCACACCGCCGGGGTCAGAGATGAGGCCTTCTGATTGGCAGGTATCTGAGGGTGTGTTTTCTGCAGGCCAAGCAGCTGGTCAGTAGGGTGGTGACCCAGAACATCTGCCAGTACCGGAGCCTTCAGTACAGCCGCCAAGAGAGCCTGGATGGTGGCCTTCCAGAGGAGGTGCTCTTCGGTATGTCCTGGGGTCCTGCAGCCTTCCTGGGGAACTGGCAGGGCAGGCTGCCGTCTCCTCCTAGGCCCCATCCTGAAATCTTTTGCATGGCTCCCTCTAGGAAACCTGGATCTGCTGCCTCCTCCTGGGAAAAGCACGAAGCCAGGTGCCGCCCCCACAGAACACAAAGCCTTGGTGTCCCACAATGGCAGCCTGATCAATGTGGGGAGTCTGCTACAGCGTGCAGAGCAGCAGGACAGTGGGCGGCTCTACCTGGAGAACAAGATCCACACACTGGAGCTGAAGCTGGGTGAGGGCCTGGGGCTGTGGCCACCACGGGGGCACGTGCAGACCAGTGGGGAAGCCACCACTTAGGCTCTGCCCTATGCTCTGGGACTTGATCGAGCAGTGTCCATTTTCCTTCTCCACCTCACAGAGGAGAGCCATAACCGTTTCTCAGCCACTGAAGTTACAAATAAGACGCTGGCGGCAGAGATGCAGGAGCTGCGAGCCCGGCTGGTGGAGGCCGAGGAGACCGCCCGGATGGCAGAGCGACAGAAGAGCCAGCTCCAGCGGCTGCTGCAGGAGCTCCGCAGGCGCCTGGCCCCCTTGCAGCTGGAAATGCAGCGGGTAGTGGAAAAGGTAAGGTGGGGTGGACCAGGAGGCAGTGTAGCTCCTTTACCTGAGCTCCAAAAGCCCTCGGAAGGGCGCCTGCCACCATGTCCGGAGTTACCAGAGGGCCAGCAGGCACCGGCTTCTTCCTTCCATTGCTTGTCAGGCTGTGTGGCCCCGATTGCAGGTTCTCTGAGAACTGAGCAGTCAGCAGTGGGGAGCTTCCCAGCAGGAGGCAGTACGAAGTCCTCAGATTGCCTTGCCAGGACCAATTCTGGGTACATCTGTTTCAAACAGGCTGACAGCTGGGTAGAGAAGGAGGAGCCGGCACCTAGCAACTGACGGCCTTGCGTGGAACTGCCATCCTGTGAGGGCAGCGGTGGCACCTGGCAAAGTTGGAGCCCTTGCGGTACCAGAAAGCAGCGGGAGCAAGACCTAGGAGCCAGGGCAGGGGTGGCTGACCCTGCGCTCAGCCTCTAGGGGACGGCAGGCCATCAGGCTGGGGGCTGTGCTATGTGGGATGGATGCGTGAGGAATCCCGGTTCCACTTACAACTAAATACAACATCTTTTGCACCCCTAGAATGTCATTTTGCCCTCCACCTTGGAATTTCTCCTGGGGCCCTTTTAGTCTTGTGCTGACTTTCTCCTGTCCTCTTCCAGTTTAGAATAAGACAGGGGAGAAAAAGGCTTTTCAAGTGTGTGACAAGGTCTGCTGTCAGTGAACTGAACTGAAGAGACAGATGTGGAGCCTGGTTGGGGCTAAGCGCCCCCTCCTCCGGATGGCACAGGCCCTGCTAGTTCCGGACGCAGGCTTCGGGGGGAAGGGTCTCCCTTGGCCATCCCGGGAATGGAGTCCGTGCTAGAAAGCACTCAGTGTTGGGCTTTGTTTGCCAATAGAACACTGTGTTCCAGTCACCCCAGACTCACCGGAAGAAACCAGCACTTCTTTCCCGCGGCTCCTGTGTTCAGAATGTGGTATTGGCTCTGGCCCAGCCTTCTCCCCTGTTCCCCGTAATTCTTGCCTCTTTCCATAATCCGTGGTTTCAGTTTGACTCTGTATATAAAGTTGGGTTTTTTTTTTTTTTTTTTTTTGGCTTTTCGTTTTTTAAATAAACCAAAGTCAAAAACAAACTGAGCGTGTCCTCCACAGCTCTTCCAGGCCTGCCTGCATGTCCTCCCGCCCAGGGTCTTTGCTGGACCATGGTGCAGTTTGCCTCAGAAGGTGGAGCAGGGCAGGGGAGGTGTGCATAGCTGGGCTGGAGGGTGCCCCTGCATGAGGCCACAGGGTTTCCTCTGCTCACCCTAAGTTAACAGCACAATACCATGTGGACGTTTCATTTAAAACTTTACTTGAAAAAATAAAATTCCAGATATTCCAGTGAGACACAAACCCAATGTTCTTGCTTTGAGGCCTAAGAATTAACATGGGACAGTTGCGCTGACAGTTTGAGTTCCCGAGGTAACAGTTCTGTTACCTTGGGAACCCCAGGGACTTGGGACGTGGGTCCCAAAGCCACGAGGGTAGCTTTTGTCTTGCTGGGAAGCTGGCTGAGGGCCTGCCAGGGCTGGAGGACCAGCTCGCCCTGGTAGGGCTCAGGGGCTCTCCCAGAAAAAAGCAGCTTTGAAGTGAAAAGGCAACAAGGGGCCAGTAGGCTCCCCAGGATGAGTCCTTTGGAGGTAGATTTGCTCCCCACCACACATGCAGGGCTAAGACCCCCACCTGAGCCAACGAAGGCCATGCCCTTGGAAGGGCTGCCGCCTGCTCAGGCCATGAGCCGGGATGCACAGTGGACGGTTCTCCAAATAAGAAAGCCCCCAGGGTTTGTCTACACTGCTTACCTGCTGGGGCTGTGAATGGGGAGATGGCGGCCTGCCTAAGGCTTCTGATGCTGGGCTCGGGAAGAGTCACTCATTGCAAAGGGCTGGCAAGTGAACCAGGGCCACCTCTGTCCCCAGCCTGTGGGAAGAGTGGGACCCTAGCCCTGAGAAGGGCAAGAACGAGCAAGGCTGACCGTGTCACAGAAGTCCTCCGAGTGATGGGTTTTCAGTCATCAGCCACAATGGAGAGGGCCCGCAGCTCACTGAGTTTGGCCTCGTTCTCCCGTTCCCGCTGCTCGTCCGAGTGGCCTGGCTGGTCAAGCTGCTGGGTCAGGTCTCCAAAGATCTTGTGCATTTCCGAGTAGTATACCACCTGGGGGAGGGGACAGGTTGGCATGTGCTGCCTCCAGGGAACCACGTGCTTCAGGGTCCCAGAGGCTGCCACTCCTGCCCACTCTCACCCATCTGGAGCTGCGCAGCAGCGTGCCTTTGGGGATGTGCAAGACATGGAAAGGCACTAGCTGTGACTGAACCAAAAGGAGGCAGGGAGCAACCGGGCCTCTGGCTGCAGATGGAGGCGCACCTGCTTCGGGCTCCTGGTTCCCCCAGCAGCAGTGCAGGAAGGCACTGGCCTCCTAGGGTGGCTGTGGAATGATGGGCACCGTGACTGGAGTTCTACTGCTTTTTGTAAGCTAAGGGAGAATCCAAATCCAAGGCTTTTTGTCCATGGCAGAACGAGGGCATGGTAGGCTGGTGGCTTCCAAAGCCCTAAGCCAGCTTTAGAAGCACAGGTGAGAAAGGGGATGCCCTTCCAGCCTTCCGTTGCCTCCCAACTCGTATTCCACCCTTGCTCATGGCCCGAGCTGCGTGGCCAGGGGCACAGCTCAGAGGCCAGGCTCACTGCCAGGGGTCCCTCTAGGGAGGCACCAGAAACGGGGCAGGGGGATGGGGCACAGGAATGAGGGTGGGGTGGGTAGAGGAATGGGGAAGCCCGTCAGCATCCCCAGATGGTTGAGGACCAGGCGCTTTTCCAAGGACAATAGGGGCTACTACTGCCTCAGTTTCTACCTCATGAACCAATGAAAGCATGCACTTTCCTGAAAGCTTCCACGCTTTATACTCTACACACGAGGTGCTCTAGACAGGAGGGGACCTTGTGGGAAATGCCAGGTGGGGCAGGGACCCATGGCCGTGACCCCCACAGTGAAGTTTCCACTGGCCAAGGTGGGGCTAAAGTGAGCAGGTCTCAACACACTACTGTCACCTCTGGGCTGGGGGTGGGCCACCCTACCCCCACTCCCTGCCCAAGCCACTGCATGGTGAGTCACTGGGAATGCTTACTTCTTCATGACTAATGGCAGCCGGGCGGGTGAGGGGGAGGCTGGGGCCTGGGAGGCAGCCAACAGCCCCCAGTGATGCTGCCTGGTTACAGGGCATCCCTGGCCTCCCATCCTCTCCAACCTGGGCACGCGGGAGCCTGGCACCTTGTGGCTTCCCCCTGTTGGCAACAGGAGGGAGGGTGCAGGGGAACACCCAGGTGACAGTGAGGAAGGGGCAGGCCCAGGTCTCCACTGAACCCAGCGGGGTGGCGAGAGGGAGCCCTTACTATAGGAGGAAGTGTTGGGAGAAGTCCCTCACCCCTCCTGCATGAGGCTCTAGTTCTCACTGTCCCCTAGAGATGGCACAGGACCAAGGATGTGGGTAACTGACAAGGCCCAGCCCTGGCATGAACCCTGCCCAGGCGTCCTGATTGGGGCAGGTGGTCACCCTGAATTTGGCCCAGCAGGGCCTGCAGGAATGGCCGCGGCCACAGGAGGGTGCCAGACGCCCAGCCATGCTCACACCGCAGGGGCTGGGAGGCACAGAGCCTGTGGCTTGAGGATCTGGCACCAAGGGGTGCCACAGGTGCTGGCGTCCCGAGGCTGTCGCTTAGCACAAGCCATCAGTGGGGTCCTGCGTGGAAGGGACCTGCTCTTGGCATGGGCGCCCACCCTCCCAGTTGGGGGAACAATCCTTGCTAAAGGCTTGAAGACGGAGGAGGGGGAAGAGGGGGGAGGAGGGGGAGGAGGGGGAGGAGGGGGAGGAGGGGGAGGAGAGGGAAGTGGGGGAGGAGGGGGAGCAGGGTAGGGGGGGTGAGGGGGGCAGAAGCCACAGGTGCTGCCACTCTGTGTCCTCCCACCCCAACTGGAAGGAGACGCTGGGGCCTGGCCCATGTCTGACCCCCAGTGGTGTGGCCCCATGCTCCCAGCAGCAGCCCAGAGTGTGGTTCTCCCCAGGGTTCTGGGACCCCTTCCCTGGTGGCTCCAAGGCAGGACTCTGCCATCTCCTGCTAAAAAGAGGACATGCTAGGGGTGGGCGGGGCAGGGAGCTGGGTCCTCAGAAAAGGCCTCCACCCTTCATATCCCTTCTCTGCACCACTTGGGCCAGGAGCCTGCCCACCTGAGGGTGTGGGGCGGAGGGGGTGCTTATAGTGAAATGCAGGGAGACCCAGGGAGGAACGACTAGGCAAAGGGGTACCTCAGCCATTCCTGGTCTGGGATTCATCAGAGAGCAATGTCAGAACTCAAAAGAGCAGAGAGTCAGGGCCCCTGAGTTGCCAAGCCTGGCACTCTGGTACTGGAATGAATTCCTTCGGGGCCATGCCTGGGGTGGAGAATGACTAAGCCACCCTTCCAGCATGGGTCACAGGGAGTGGCACGAGATACGTCCACCAAGCCCGGCAGCCTCACCTGCGCTCGGATGAGGGACTCAAAGCTGGGCTGGAAGTAGTCAAGGCGGCTGCCATAGAAGCGCGGCATCTCCTCCAGCAGCTGCCTGTTCTTGGCTTCAAAGTCCTCCCGCACGGGCCGCAGCTCCTCTCGTGCCTAGGGAACAAGACCCTATCTCTGCTGGTGCAGGATACAGGATGGGTGGGGTGGGGACATGCAGTCTCGGTCCTGGTGCCCCCAGGTGAAAGAAGGGACTTTCCACAGGCGATCATGAAGGCCTGTCCGTCCACCCGCTGCCTGCCTGCCCTCCCTGGTACCTGGTGGAGCTTGGCCAGCACTGGCCCCGTCTTCTCCTTTTCCTCGTACTTCTCGACCTTGGCCTGCAGCCTCCTGTAGTCCTGCAAGGCCTGTTCCCGCCGCTTCACAGCCATGTTGAGGCTCGGGAAGACGCTGCCAAACCTGTGGGACGAGCTGGCTGGAGGTGGGCCTGCTCTTGGAGGGGTGGCCTGACCAGCACTCACTTACTCAAAAATATGTCCTGAGCACCTACTAAGTGCCAGACCCTGCTCTAGGTCTTGGGGAGTTCACTGTGAACAAGACAGATGAGGCTCTGTCCCCTGCAGCTTGTGCGAATGAGGATGTCGTGGAGTTAAGGACAGATGAGAGGAGGCAGGGCTGTGGGCCAGGTGCCGGGAGCCGGGCAGCATAGGGCCCTGACCCCCACCTCCTGTGAGCTGCACCACACAATGACTAGAAGATGGTGGGGAGGGTGCTTTGAAGTCATCTGGCCAACACTTCACTTTTAAAAAGGAGGGAAACTGAGGACAGAGATGATATGTAACTCAATCAAGGTCACAAGGAGGCAGAGAAGGTCCAGAAGAGAGCACAGGTGTCCACATTCTCTGTGTGGCACCCTTTCCAGCCCTCACAGTTCCAATGGCAGGTGACAGAGCTCAAATCTTACTCTGGCCCAGGGCACCTTCTCCTTCAAGGCGTCCTTGGCAACTTGAAAGCAGCAGAGCCGGGCATGGTGGCTCAAGCCTGTAATCCCAGTACTCTGGGAGGCCGAGGTGGGGGGATCACAAGGTCAGGAGATCATGACCATCCTGGCCAAGATGGTGAAATCCTGTCTCTACTAAAATACAAAAAAAAAAAAAAAAGCTAGCCGGGTATGGTGGCACATGCCTGTAGTCCCAGCTACTCGGGAGGCTGAGGCAGGGGAATCGCTTGAACCTGGGAGGCGGAGATTGCAGTGAGCTGAGACTGTGCCACTGCACTCCAGCTTGGCGACAGAGCAAGACTCTGTCTCAGAAAAAAAAAGCAGAAGTCCTATAGTTCTGCCACTGATTAGAATGGCCAAAGCGCCAACCAGCTGCTTAAGGAAAATGCCCTGAGGACCTCTTCCTACCCCACTATGACTAGAAGGGACCGCGTGGGAGACTCAGAGGAGTGGCCCCCAGAGACAGCAGCAGTGGACGATGCAGCACTGCAGGTCCCCAGGGGCCTCATCTGTGACCCATGTGGCCTTTAGCGACCAGGAGCACTGCTCTCCTGAGGCTCTCGCTGCTGCTGGAGGGCTGGCCCTCAGTGTGACAGCAGGGCAAGCCCGAGTCCCAGGAGTGCTCGGGGTCCAGCTGTGCAGCGCAGGGAGCCCGTGACTCCGTGGCCATTTGGAGGTGAGCCAGTACCAGAAGAGTTGGTTCCTCCTGGAGGTTTTTACCATGAACCCAGAGAGGAGGAAAGATGAGGGCAGGAAGCAGTTACTGAGGCTGGGGTCAGCCTCTCACAGGCACTCAGAGCTGAGAGGATGCCAGCAGGCTCACTGTCAGCTTCTAGGAGCTCAGACACAAGGCGGAGCAGGACTTCTCAGATCTGCCTCTCAAAGGAACATGACCATGAATTTGATTTTGAGATGGAGTCTTGTTCTCTCCATCAGGCTGGAGTGCAGGGGCATTATCTCTGCTCATTGCAGCCTCTGCCTCCTGGATTCCAGTGATTCTTATGCCTCAGCTTCCCGAGTAGTTGGGATTACAGGTGTGCACCACCGCGCCCAGCTAATTTTTGTATTTTTAGTAGAAACAGGGTTTCACTGTATTGGCCAGGCTGGTCTCGAACTCCCAAAGTGCTGGGATTGCAGTCATGAGCCTGGTTTTAAAAAGCCTCAGCAAATCAAGTGTCCAGGTGAGTTAAGAGTAATGAACAATTTTGCCAGAGAGTAAGATATAAACTTTACCAAAGCATTAAATGCCCCAAACTAAAGCACAGACCCAGGGAGTAGACTTTGATGAAACAAAGGTCTTATCCCTAAGAAAGGCCACTAACATGAATCCTCCATCTCAAGTATCCATCATGGGCTCCCTGCCTAAAAAAGTGCTAAGTGGGTGAAGCCACCAAAGTGCCCTGAATCCTCAGCCATGCCCTTAGACACAGTCATCAAACCAGCATCTGAACAAATTGCTAGGCAGAAGCCATGGGCCTCCCAGCACTGCCCATGGAGAACGCAGGCCCCCTCAGCACTGTGGAACTGAGAGGAAGCAGACACCACCAGGACGCATGGCCACCCATGGCGTGGGCTGGAGTGAGACCGCAGGGAGGAGCTGGGCTTGATGCTTTCACCCAGGGCAGCTGCTGTGGATCTGCAGCTGCTGGGACGCCCCGCCCCCCTTCCTGGGCAGCTGAGAGGCACGTGTTCAGGCAGCAGGTGCAGCTGGCCTCAAAGGCTACCATGCCACCTCTCCCTCCGCCCCAAATGGCCAACGGACCACTGGCAGCCACCCCAGTCCTCACCCTGGACCTTGTATTGGAAGCCACCTGCTGCCTGCATGGTCCCAGTACCTCGGCCCTGTGGGTGCCTGGGAGCTGTGGGTTGGGTGCTAGCACCGGGACAGGGCAAAGATCATAAGCAGGCAGGAGGCAGCAGGTGGAGGACTCTGGCCCTGGCCCCAATCCCACCACGCTGAGCTCACATCCGCAGGAAGGAGGGCATCACAGGATGAAGCCACGTGTACACAAGGCACCTTCCACAGCGCAGGATGGGAGGAGCTGCATGCTCATTGCTCCAGCAGCCCAACCCCCAACATCCCTGCGGCCCTCTCAGAGCCCCCTTCCCACAGCTGGGACTTACTATTTTCAGGGCCAGGGTCAGAGCCACCAGGAGCACTGACTACAGCAACAGCACCCTCAGTCACCAAGAGGCTCTGCCTGCTCAGGCCACTGGAGGTGATGGCTGATAAATTACCACCGAGGTAGGGGAGGTTGGATCCTGGAATTGGGATTCCCTAGGGGTAGAGACAAGGGTCACACCCTTCTACATTCCGAGAAAACTCACATCAGTCAGGGTGGGGTGAAGCCTGCCTCAAGGTGGTTGAAACGTGGGGGACCAGGACTCTGTCACATCTGCTCTGGTCACTGACCTATTGAGGCCCCATCTGTCTGTTTTCTACTTCTCAGCAATGGAAGACTTTGCCAAAGCCCAGGGGTGGACGGTGGATGTGCCATGGTGCTGCGCGGGACCTCAGCTCAGGGCTCAGGGTGCCGACAGGGGAGGTGGAGACACGTACAGGATAGGCCCCTGTGCTGACCCCTCTCAGATATGCCCCCGGGACACCACAGAGGCCTTGCTGACACCACCCAATCACATGGTGGGGACCTCTCCCCAGGAGCAAGGCCAGGACCCAGGCTTCACTCTGCTGTCCCAGCGCACTTCACCCCTCCTTTCTCCTTGCCCACCTCAGCCCACCAAAACCTCCTCTCCTACTCCTAGATGCTGACTGTCCCATTCTGAGAAGTCAGTTTGGCCCTCTCTTTCCACATGTGAGGAAACAGACTCCCAGGCTGGGTGGGGGCAGGTGGGACAGGCCACCCAGCATGCTTTCCTCCATAGTACTGTACCACGCTGGCACTGCCACACCCACCGCTGACTCGAGAACAGATCGTGGCTGTCCACTACACTGTAAGCTCCTGAAGTTTCCTTTACATTTATCCTCAAATAACAGGGCCAGGCTGGGCCCAGGCCAGTGATCAAAGCAACACTCATGATCACTGCCAATTCTTGCCTGTCTTAAGGCTCAATATCAAACTCACTCCCCTGGGGATACATGGGGCAAAGAGAAGCAGAACAGGGAGGGAGAGGGAGGCCGGCTGGGAGGTGGGCTGGGCGCAGCCAGCACTGGTGGGGAATGCCTGCCATGCCTTGGTCTGTGCCCACGCGGCCGGGAGCTTCCACCCACCAGGAAAGGGAAATTGAAAGCATCCCCATCCGACATGTGAACACAGCCCAGAGATGGGATTAGAGGCCGAGCCCCTGCGGGGAGGCTGGGGGCGGTGGGGTGGCCATGTGGCCATGATCTTCATCAGAGGACAGGAAAGCTGCAGTTTCCTGTTTCTGGTGCTGGGGTCCCTGGGAGCTTCTCTTCTGGCAAGAGGAAGCCAATGGGGAGGAGGCTGCAGGCTGCGCGGTTTTATGTGGTCGGGGGAGATCGTATGTCAGCTGTGGGGATGCAGGGAGAAGTCAGCCAGGCAGGCCTGAGGGCTCACGCAGAGGTCAGCGGATCTGCAGCGGAGATGGTGCGCCCCCTCTGCCACGCCCCCACCTTCCTGGCAGGTGGTGGGCCACCAGGGTGTTGGGAAGAGGCCGGGGTTTCTCTCCATTTGGGCTCCAGAAGCCAGGGATCAGATTTCAAGGGCGCCTTGTTGGCACTGAAATCGAGGTGGGAGTCAGTCCCCCAGTTCTCTGAGCTGTGTCCCTGCCTCACTCTGCCAGCCATGGGTGCCTGTGGCAGCCTCTGTGTCCGGCTCTGGGACCCCTGCAGCCCTGGCACAGAAGAGCCCTCTGTGGGCAGGGTCTTCTTGGCTTGCGTCCTTCCCAACCAGACCTGAACCGTCTGTCCTGAAGCCCAGGACTGAAAACCACAGCCATGGAGCTCCTTCTGCACCCAAGCTCCCTATACAACCCCGTGGCACAGGGCTGCACTGTCACCAGTCACCAGCAGGCAGGGGGTGGTGGATACCCTCTAAGGAGGCTGCGGGGCCAGGCCCAGAGTGGGAGGTGCAGCCCCTTCCCTCCCTGCCATCACTGAGCCTCCACAGTACTGGCTTAGAAACAAGAGCTTGCTGGCCGGGCGCGGTGGTTCAAGCCTGTAATCCCAGCACTTTGGGAGGCCGAGGCGGGTGGATCACTTGGTCAAGAGATTGAGACCATCCTGGTCAACACGGTGAAACCCCATCTCTACTAAAAATACAAAACATTAGCTGGGCGTGGTGGCGCGTGCCTGTAATCCCAGCTAGTCAGGAGGCTGAGGCAGGAGAATTGCCTGAATCCGGGAGGTGGAGGTTGCGGTGAGCCGAGATCGTGCCATTGCACTCCAGCCTGGGTAATAAGAGCGAAACTCCGTCTCAAAAAAAAAACAACAACAGCTTGCTAGTGACAGGCGGGCCTTTTCCTAATCCCATACTTCAGGCCTGCACAGTCGACGAACAGCTCAGCAACCCCAAACCCCAGGGGATGCAGGATCAAAACTGCTCCCCTCATCGCCCTCTGGGCCCTGGGCCAGGCCAGTGATAATTAGGCAGAGCCTCATTACCCGGCCCTGGCAAGGCAACTGCCCAGGACCACCACAGAAGAGGCAAGGAAGTGCAGCTGGGCAAGCAGGCGCTTTCTAGGTCACAGCCTGCTCGGGAGAGGCCAGGGAAGATGAAGTGATTCGGGGCTTCAAGGCATGGCTCTGCCTGTTCCCCGCCCTGGGGATCGAGGGAATAGGCCTCTCTGATCACCGACCAGGGCCTGCCTGACAGAAGATGAGTCTCACAGAAGCATTCTTAACCCTGATAGGTCACAAGCTAGGGGACCTTCCCAGGCCAGACCCTGTTGCCGCACCCCTCCCTGTGTGCGGCCACCCCCACATTTCTAAAGCCGAGTGCTGCAGGCAGCTGCTCTCCCAATCCGGCAGGGCAAGATGAAAGGCCTTGCTCATGTCCGCTGAGGGCTGGCCAAGATCTCTGCTAGCTCCATTCAGCAAGCCTGGCCCCACTGGCTCTCAATCCAAAGGAAGCCATCAAATGGCCACCGGAGCAGTGGCCGATTGCTTGTGGGGGGTGGCGAGGAGGGGTCACCTGAGCTCACCTGGGCCATGCAGGTGCTCTAGAGCCCACAGTAGCACAGACCTTTAGGCCACAGGTCACAGAGCTAACGTCCCCAAGAGTTTCTTGTTAGTCCCCATGGGAATCTGGGGACAGGCTGTTAGAAATGCTGTTCAAGCTCCAAGTGGCCGCTGACCTGCCTCTCCCGAAAGTGCCGCGAGGCCCCCAGGTAACATTTACTCACTTTTTTAAGGGCTCGATCACAGTCTTCTGAATTTGGTTCACCTGTAAAAGAAAAGCCCAAAGACATTACAACTGGGGGCGCTGGGGAGGGGAGGACAATAGGCAAGGCCGGGCCCCTAACTACTGCTGGACCAAAAAGCCCCAAGGACCACAGGGTACTCTCCTTGTCCTGGGCCTGAGCCACAGAAGGCTCAGGGGCTGCATGAACAGGACCACCATAGGCGACCCTCACAGTGAGTGATGTGAGCTCTTGGAGCCTCAGGAAGCAGGGAGAGCCAGGGCAGAACGGTCTGGGAAGAGCCCCGTGGGCCTGCGGCACAGTGCAGCACACGAGGCTGGAGGGCTAAGTGCCCTGAGAGCAGAGGGAGTCCACTCAGGCCTCCCCACACAGTCCCTCCAGGGAGAGGCCCACCCCAAACCAAGACCCAGTCACCTACCTTTTCCTGGTTGAAGGCATCCATCCGCTTCATGGCAGTATCCAGGGCTGTCACCATGTTCAGAAGGTCCTGGTCTTGTTCACAGAGGGGATTGGAGAGTAAATCCACGGATATCTTCACAGCAGATTTTGACAGGGCTGTAAAAAGTCAAAGCTCAGTGAGCCTGTGAAGAGACAGGTTTCACTGGCTTCTCTTCAGCACCCTGTCCTCCTATGGCCAGAGGCCTGCACCCTGATGACCTCTTCCCACCACCACGGCTGTCCGAATGGCAGAGTGCCACACAGCCATGAGCTGCTGATCCCCTGGTTTAATATTCATTCCCCATACTGACACTGTTCTGGGCGATTCTTTTGAGGAGCTTTACCTGTTCTCCAAACCCTGGGTTAGAAAAGGACTATCTGGGTGGGAGGCTATAATATAATGCTTCTGGCTCCAAAGATTCTAATTCAGTAAAGCTGGAACCCAAGAATATGCATTTAAAACCGCATCTCCAGGTGGTTTGGACGTAAAGCCTGGTTTGGGACTCCCACATGGACAAGAGTAACAGTACTCCAGTTTACACATGCTTTCACTACAAAAGGCCCAACCGTAAACAGTTCATGCTTTGTGGGCCGTATGATTTCTGCTTCAACTTCTCAACTCTGCCTTGTGCTGTGAAAACAGCCAGCCACAACACATTAAAAAAAAAAATGGATGTGGCTGTTTCAATAAAACTTTATTGACAAAACTAGGTCAGATTTGGCCAGCAGCTGTAGCCTGCCAACCCCTAGTTTCCTGGATATCCAGTAGGACGAGATACACTGGAAAACGTGTTTTCCCCTGAGACTCGCCTGGACACTCTGCAGCTGGCACAGACGGCACTGGGCCAGCATGGCCCTCCTCCAGGGTGTCTTCCTGCTCCTCCAGAATTTTGTTTGTAAATAATGGAGATCTGGGAACTTGTACAGGACAAGGAGCCCCAAAGCTTTCAGCAGGTCCCCATCTTGGGATTCTGTCAAGGTTCGGATACACTCTCATTTAGAGCTCAAACAACCCAGGGAACATCTAGGGGAAATTATTTTGGTTCCATTTGAGAGAGGAGGCAAATCAGGTACAAAAGGGTTTGTAATGTCTCCAAGGTCAAATGGCTGTGAGCGCCAGCTGGGCCTTGACCCTTGACCCTGGCCAGCTGCCTCCCTGTTGACTGCTCTCCTTGTGATCTGGCCTGGAGGAAGCCGGCGGACAGGTCCACGAGGCTCTGATGGGGCATCCACTCATGTGTTTCAGGCGCCCTGGTACCCAGTCCCCACGAATGTGCCACCCACCCCTCTGTGCTCCTCCCTCCTGTGTTGACATTCCCTGCTGGGCAGATGGAAAGCCTGGGAGTCACAGGCGGCTCAGAGGCGGGCTGGAGACCTGCTGGCAGCTTTGGAGCTCTTGGTCCTGAACATGTTTTCAGGCATCCATTATTTCTAGAGTCTAGAAACAAAATTCTAGAGGGGCAGGAAGAGGCCATGGAGAAGGGCCATGCTGGCCTGTTGCTGTCTGTACCAGTGTCAGTGTGTCTGGGGCAGGTCTCAGGAGAGAAGACACACTGCAAGGGAATTTCTTTTATTTACACGTTACTGAATTTAAGATGCTCTTCGTTATAAGACACTCACTTTAAAAACTACTAAGAAAAAAAACTGCTGTCAGTCAAACCAGGCTACACTCTCAAGTGTTATAGTACTTTGATTTCAGAGATGTTAACTGTGGAAACTGTCTTGACCCATGACATAAGGTTCGCCTCCCAGTTAATTACAGATGTGGCCTTGCCTAGCACTCCAGGGCAGGAGCCCGACCCCTGACCGTGCTCTCCCTGAGGAAGGGACCACCTCCCCCAGGCTCCTTCACCAGCCAGCAAGGCAGCGCTGAGTAGACAACTAGCCAGCCTGGAGCATCCTCCTGGGATTTTTCTGGAATTTAGGAGAGTGCTACAGTCACCCAGCAAAAGGGCAAACTGTGGGAGAAGGCTGGAAATGTAAACTTTCCAGAAATGCTGAGGAAATGGAGGAAAACAGACACCTCTTAAATTCTGTGAAGTGACTGTAGGTTTAGGAACAAATGTGTAACTTGATTTGATTATGAAATGATCACATAATGGCATAATAGAAAGATAATAAAATTCTAGATAAAGCTGGAAATGTTTCTGAAAAATGTCTTCTATTCTTTTTAAAATATCTGAGGAAAACAATCCAAAAAGCCAGAGGATAGAGGAGACATTCTTCCCACTTTTTTTTTTTTTGAGACGGAGTTTTGCTCTCGTCGCCCAGGCTGGAGTGCAATGGCACGATCTTGGCTCACTGCAACCTCTGCTTACTGGGTTCAAGCAATTCTCCTGCTTCAGCCTCCCAAGTAGCTGGGTAATATTACAGGCGCCTGCTAATTTTTGTATTTTCGGTAGAGACGGTGTTTCACCATGTTGATCAGGCTGGTCTCAAATTCCTGACCTCAGGTGATTCACCTGTCTAGGCCTCCCAAAGTGCTGAGATTACATGCATGAGTCACAGGGCCCAGCCGCACTTCCCCCACTCTTTCCTAAAGCTGTTGCATTGTCATGAAGTCATGGAACTGAGTGGACTCAGTGGCCGGCCCTGGGCAGAACTGGGTCTGGAATCCCTGCCCAGTGATGCCCCTGATTCATGCGCGCAGAGCAGAGCTGGGGTACATGACACCAAGAACACCATGGCCTTGGCTGGGCGTGATGCCTCATGCCTGTAATCTCTGTGCTTTGGAAAGCTGAAGCGGGAGGATCCCTTGAGCCCAGGAGTTCGAGACCAGCCTGGACAACATAGCAAGACCGTGTTTCCCCTCAAAACAAAAAACAGCAGGTCTCCATGCCCCACTGGGCCTGTGGTCCCTGCTCTGGCACATATCCCTCCTCATTGTTCCCTGCAGGGACTGGGAGAGGGGCACAGTCAGCCTGGCCCACATCGGGAGGCTGGTGATCTTTGAACCTTAGAGAAAGTAAGAGTCTTGGATCCCATCTGGATCTCTGAAGTCCTGATGCAGCCTCTGGAATGTAAGATTCAAAGATCCACCAGAGCACTGTGAAAGTAATGTTAAGTTTCTGAAAGAAAGGTCATCTTTTTTTAGAATAACTGGGGATTTTCCACCTTGCTGGGGAGCTCAGGAGATTCCACACTCAGGAAAGGCAACCTTCCATTCCCCTCAATTGTCCGGATCAGTGGTGCTCACAGTGTGGGTCTCCAGCATCATCTGGGAATTCCAGGGGCACACATTTTCAGGTCTCGCCCAGCCCATGAATCCGAGGCTGGAGGTGTGGCCCCACAGCCTGCAGAACAGCAAACCCACCCACAACGCTGACGCCCGCCCTGTGCGGAAGACTGCTGTGGCTGTCAGGCTCACCTCCGCCCCGCAACCAGCACCACTGCTCTCCAGAGGTGCCGTCTCTGCCCACATCCACTCCTGACTGAGGACAGTAATCCTAAGCTTCCGTAGTCACCCACTGAACCCTGGTTTCTCTGCTGGAAAACTAAGTTTTCCACAGCCACAGACGGCGCCTCATGGACCCCTGATGCCCTCCTTGGTTCTGGAGCAAGCCGCTGTGAACACAGCACAACCTAGCTTCATTTCTGCTCTGACAATGCAGCTGTCTGTAGAAGCAGGAAAGAAAGGAAGCAATGGGTCACAGCAGCTCCAGAACTGGAAAGGCAGTGGGGACCGATCAAGAAAAATGCAACCCAAGTAACTCAGACCTGAAGTAACGAGAAAACAAACAACTGCACACAAACTCCCAAATCCGGTCCTTGGCTTGTGACACAGACAGTTTGGCAACACTAGGGCCCAGGAGCAAGGTGCATGTTCAGACCAGCCCACGGCCCAGGAATTAGCACTGGCATGATAATTTATGGCACAGGCCAAGACGGGCACAGTCCCTGCACAGGCAGTCAGCACTCACCAGGGCACGGTGGTGGTAGTGGTGGCGGCGGCTCCCAGGGAAGGAGTGTTTTCCTTTTGTGATCAGTGCTTGGTAGGAAAGGTGTTTGTTTACACATCAGTAACTGGCTGAGGCTTAGGAACTGGCATTAAACGGGAACAAATTCAAATAACTAACTCCATTAGGGATATTTCAAGTGTTTTCCTCTTAACTGCAGTACCAAGTAGGAGCCAGCTGGTCCTCAAATTCCACCCTCAGGTGCACACTGCCCTATGGCCCTTTGAATGGTGTCAGGAGACAGTGACACTGCCCCCATTTGCACTAGGCTCACAGACAGCCAAGCCAAGAGTGGATGGGCCAGGGTTCCGGAGTGGGGCTGTTTCTAGTTTGGGGTGGCATGGCAAAGGAAAGACCGGGGCATGGGCAGGCTTCGCTGCGGAGACAAGGCCCTGGGCTTGAGCAGAGGAGCTGAACTCTTCCTCCTTCATCAAATGGACATGTCAGTGTCCTCTTTCATAAAACGGGCGTGTCATGTGCCCTGCCAATCTCAAGGTCAGAAGAGCTCACGTAGGTAAAAATTTCTTCACAACTGTAACAGCATTATTCAGCAGCTGGAGTGGCTGAGGGGACTGAAGATGGCTCCTCCCCCGTCCTGCTGGCTCTTCTGCATCTCTGGTCAGCGTGCACAGCCTCTGGGCCTCCACGCTTGCTGTCCCCGGCCTCTGGGCCTCCACGCTTGCTGTCTGCTGTGTTTCAGGCCCTCTTTCCTTGGCTCTACTTGTGTGGGTTACTCATTCCTTTAGGACTCTGCCCAAGGGACACCTCCCCAGAAAGGCCTCCCTGGACCTGGTCACTTTCCACCTCCTGACTGTTCTTGACAGTGCTCACCATGACATGTCATTATAATTATTCTCTTGGATCTCTTGCGGGCCTTCCTCCTAGAATGTAAGCTCTCATTCTGTCTTGCTGTTGACTCTCTAGCACTGAGTGTGCCTGGCACAGGTGGGTTCTCAGTATCTGTTGAATGAGAGGAAGTGAGCAGTCCTGGCCAGACCCAACTCTCTTTCAAGTCCCCATCCCAGTGTGGTATATAGACATGTCCCTCCGACTGAACCCAGGGAAGGAGCAGTGGAGGTCCAACGAGTCAGGGAGCCTTGCTGCCAACAATGATGATGGTGACAACAGGAGCTGACATCCCCCGAGAGCTGACCTGTGCCAGGCCGTTCTCAGTGCTTCATGTTGCTCAGGTGACTTCATCTTCAACACCAGCCCGTGCCACTTGGGCTGGCATTCCCAGTGCTTGCTTCCCGGGTCAGTGAACTGAGGTGGAGCTTAGCTGGCTGTCCGGAGGTGGACACGGAGTGCTGAAGCCACTGATCAACCCTTGGTCAAGTGCTTGCTGCTCTGCGGTGGAAAAGTCAAGGCCTTGGAGAAACAACCTCAAGGAGTTCTCCACCTCTCCCGGCTGCTCGTCGCCTCCTTCCTGGGACATGACCTGTGACAAGGGCTCTGGATGCTCCCTTATCCCAGACCTGCCTGTGGCTCTGGTGTCCTGGGCCTTGTTCCTCCTTGTTTCAAACAAGAACTCTCCAGCCAAGAAACCTCCCCCAAGGGCCCGAGCTGTTTTCCGGCACCGGCTGGCCCCCACCTCCCATGGACCTCCCAGTGTCCTTTGTTATGACGGAATTATCTGGGGCATTTCTGGCCTTACACTTTAACCCAACCTCTTGTTTTAACACACCACAGCTTCCATTCCTGTTGCCACTGAAGTGCCTGGCCCAGCGGCCAGGGAGTCTTGTTTCTGCAGGAAGGAATGTGCTTCCCTTTCTCTCTGGACAGCCTCAGCTGGCGGACCAGATTCTGAGGCAGTGGAAACATCTACTACCAGAAGCTTCCACCAGCTGCAGTACTGCCCTGACTAGAATCCCAGGAGAGCCTTGCCCCGGCACACACATCCAAAGTGGGGTTGTGCGAGCTCTGTGGGAAGTAGGATCTGACTAGTGAGTGACCGTCCGTCCTTAGGCTGCTTCTCGGGACACTGGGTACGCATCCTCTGAGTGCAACAACGTCAGTTAGCCCTTGGGGGGGCTGAGGGAGGGTGCCCACCTCTGCCTCACCTGCCTAGCCAGTGGTGCGGGTGGAAAGCCACCTACCCAGGTCGGCGTCGGTGCTCTTCTTCATGTCTTTCTGCAGCCTCCGGGTCTGCTCTTCCAGCCTGCAAGGCAGGGGACAGGCTGCTGGGGATCCCCCTTCCCTTTCCCTGAGGGAAACCCAGATACTCTGGAGGGCCTGCCAGGGAGGAGGAGAAGGGGCCCTTCCCCATGGGGACATTTCCCGCTGTCTTAAGTGCCGCTACACCCAAAGGCTTCGAGTGAATGACTCTCGTGCGGCCACTGCTGGGCAACGATTCCAGCAGCCTGGTGACCTGAGCTGCCCTCTGCTTCTAGGGTGCTCAAGGGGCAGAGGGGCAGCCCAGGGAAGGGCGGTGGGCAGACAGGTGAGACCTGGCAGAGGGCCCTTGTCCCTCCTGCCTCCCACCTCAGCCTTCTGGGGTTGACACTCACTGCTGGAGTTTTCCATACTCCCTTTCAAAGTCTCTCTCCACCTGCAACGAGAGAGAGAACTCAATTATTGGAGAAATGACAGCACGGTGGAAAAACCTCCCAGGCTCCTGAAACTCTCTCCACACCTGCCCCAGTCCGCAGAAAACAACAGGGTCCGGTTCACACAAGCACCGACAGCTCGCTCCTCACATGGTATTCTTGTGTTCCCAAGTTAATTAAGTGTTTGACTGAGGGAAGAAGGCTCCCCTCCCAGAGGGGCCGGCCAGGCAGGTGGCAGCAGACCATGGCTGTGCTCTTTCCAGCTGGGAGCAAGGCACTCACTGCGTGCCCTCCTCACCCCAGGCTGGAGGTGGTCAGGGTGCTCAGAATGTGACTGGATCCCATCCAGGGAGGCAGCAGGGTGCGGAGGAGAGGGCGGGTCTGGAGGTGGGGGCTGTCTCTGCTCTTCCTAGTTTCCAGGTCCACGCAGAGCGCCTCCTCTCCTATCGTGCCCTCCTCTCAGGGCCACCTGCCCCTGCTGGGCTCGGGGTGGGTCAGGAACAAGCATGCTCCTGTGCTCTGTGACTGGGATGCATCAAACACAGACACTACAACACTACAACTATTCAGGCAGGCTCTCTCCATTCCCAACCAGACAGCGACTCTTGAGAGCCAGCAACACTGAAACCAAATGGGTGAGTCCTGAACCTGGGGCTGGACTTGCAAGTTAAGGATCTAGTACTTTCTTCTAGGCCTAGACTTCATTATCTGTAAAAAGGGGCCTCAGCATGGGTCTCTTATGGGCGTGGTATGGGAAGTAAGTGGTATCAAGAGGCAAAGACAGAGACTAAGCTAGAGGCCAGTCCTTCTTTCTCTCCCTGGCCAGAGCAGTAGACGTCAGGGACCAGCTTCTGGGCTTCGTGCTCTGAGCAGTCAAAACTGCTAACTCACATTCACAGAGCCCTCACTGTGTGCTTTACAAGAATAAAGTTCTCTACACTCATCTCCGAGGCAGGCATGACTATCAGGTGACAGTACTGAGGTGGTCACCGAGACCCAGGTTATATACCCTGGCCAAGGTCATCGCATTGGTGAAGGGCAGAGCTGAGCACAGTGGGAATGGAACCCAGGCAGCCTGCCCCGACGGCCTGCATTCGTAACCATCACTCTCCTAGAAGGCATTTTCTGATGAATGAAAGCCTTGACCTAAGAAAGCAGTCTTCCTGGCTGCTCCCCGAGACTTCTGCCCCTGACAGCCCTAGATCCTGACTTCTGCTTACGCTACAGGCTGAGGGTCAGGCAGTATACATTTGCAGAAACTGTCAGAGCCAAGCTGTTCCCATCACTGCCATCCGGCAACAATGACCTGAGTGTGTTCTGAGCTCATCAACCTTAACACTGCACATTTAGATTTAGATTAATTTAACATAACCCTGGAATGACAAAATAGCAGTCATGTCACAAATGAGGAGCCTGAAGCCCAGAAAGGGAAGTGACTTCGCTAAGGATGCGGGACATTCTGGTGGCAATGGAAGGCTAGAATCCAGAGTCTTGGTTCAGGTTCTTTTTGTTTCAAATGTAAACAATATTCATTCCTACAAACATGTATTGAGCACGTATTAAGTGGGATGCATTCTGCCAGGCCCTGGGGATACCCTGGTTGATTCAAACAGACATGGGCCCTGGTGGTGCACATAAACAACGGCTAGATACAAATCTGCCTGCTGATGGGCCTTTTGGATGGCAGCGATAAGGCCAGAGAGAGTTGGACAGAGTCTGCTTAGCTCTGGCCCGCCCTCAGGGCATGACAACAGACTCCCTTGCATGGAGATAGCTGTGCCTTCCTCATTTCAACTGTAAAATCTGGAAGCAGGGGAAAAAACGGTCTTTTACTTACTTTATGATCGTGGCATCTAGTACCTTCTACAACACTGTGAAGTAAAATCCACCACGGGTGCCCCAGCCTCCCATCCTACAATCCTTCTTCCTCTTTTCAGCAGACTCTTTCCCCACCCAGCAACCCATTATTTTTATCATTACTTTCCTTAGGATCCAGCAAAAGCTACTTTTAAGAAAAAAATTCAAAATTCACTCCCACTAAAGCACAAATGCTTGATAAGCATTTAAAGTGCTGCCTGTCCCAGGGGGTTTCCAGTTAGCAGGGGGGAAAAAAAACTCAGCTAAAGGAAGGGAAAGGCTCTGCAGTGACTGCAGGTGGAAATCTGCTTTGGTGTGAAGGAGCCTTGCCAGGGCCCTTGAAAGTCTGTACTTTGGTGTCAGCCTAGTTTTCTCCAGCAGGGCCACAGAATAATGCAGTTTAGAGGCATGAGCAGAGATAGCTAAGATATGAACTCTGATACTAGTTGTGGAGCCTTGATAGTACTGCGGACTTTTTTTTTTTTTGAGACAGCGTTTTGCTCTATTGTCCAGGCTGGAATGCGGTGTTGCCATCATAGCTCACTGCAGCCTTGACCTTCTGGGCTCAAGCAATACTCCTGTCTCAGCCTCCTGTGTAGCTGAGTCTATGGGAATATGCCGCTATGCCTGGCTAATTTTTAAATTTTTGTAGAGACGGGATCTTACTATATTGCTTAGGCTGGTTTTGAACTCCTGGCCCCAAGTGATCCTTTTGTACTGGCCTCCCAAAGTGCTGGGATTACAGGTGTAAGCCACCTCACCCAGCCAACTTTAGGTGGCTTATAAGAAAATAGTTGACAATAATATCTACCTCAGAGGCTCCTTCTGAGGATTAAGAGGCAGAGTACCTAGAACAGACTGCAGGTGACTGGCCCATGGCAGTGCTCACTAAATGTTAGTTTCCGTGTTTTTCTCCTGCTCACTGGGGTTCTGGGAAGACCAGAGCAATCTGGGGCTGCAGACTGGGCTATAAACCTGTTCGCAGAGAGGAGAAGCTGCCCCAAGCACCTAGGAAACTGGCAGCTAGGGAAACCCTGATGTTGGCTAAGGGTGGAGGCCCATGCCTCGGTGCTGTGACAGTGCCCTAGCTCCCTTTGCTAAACACATCTTTCTTCTTTTTTTTTGAGATAGAGTCTCACTCTGTTACTCAGGCTAGAGTGCAGTAGCACAATCTCGACTCACTGCAACCTCTGCCTCCCAGGCTCAAGCAATTCTCATGCCTCAGCCTCCCAAGTAGCTGGGACTCCAGGAGTGAGCCACCACACCCGGATAATTTTTGGAAAAAAATTTTTTTTTGGTAGAGATGGGGTTTCACCATATTGTCTAGGCTGGTCTTAAACTCCTGGCTCAAGTAATCTGCCTGCCTTGGCCTCCCAAAGTGCTGGGATTACAGGCATGAGCCACCGCACCCAGCCGACACATCTTTTGTCTAACCTTGCAGGATATGACAGATGAGCAGCATCTTCACTTATAAAAAGTATTTCTTTCCAGAAAGAGAAAATTAAAACGAAGCACTACTTGGCCCAAACCAAGCTCATCTAGAGATCCAGAACACACAGGAGGTGCTCTCTGGGAGGGGAGCTGAGAGTTTGCTGAACCCTGGGGCCCCAGTCTTTGGCTCCCTTCCTCTCTTTTGCAATCCCCCAAATGTGCCGGTGTGTGGGATGTCAGAGAACACCTGGTCTCCCTGGCTGGGGACTGCTTGGACTTGCACCTGGAGGGACTTCAGGTTTTTAGCTAGGGTGGATCACTCTGGAAGCTGAGGAGCTTGAGGTCTCAACAACGGAGTTGAGGAGCAGGTCAGGGGCGGGAGTATGCTCTTGCTACTCGGTGCCACTGAAGGCCATCTGACAGCCTGAGAGGAGTTCGGAAACATCTCACCTCCCCTGCTGCCAGCGGCCGGGGTGGGTGGCTTCTCTAGCTCACTGCTCCGAGAGCTCTCTGCTCCATTGGGGAAAGATGCACAGGGACACTGCCAGAATTCTAGCCTCTCGGATAATGGCTAAGGGACTAAAGGGACACACTGGAGCCTCATTCCGAGGAAAAGAGCCAAACAGAAAAGATCTGAACATCTTTGAATGCTTGATGCCTTTGCCAAAAAGGCAACTGGACCCCAGTCAACAATGCAAGTGTAAACACATGTGCATGGACCATCAGGGGATCAGGGCAGGCTGGGCCAGGCTGGCGAGGTTAGTGTAGGGAGAACCAAGGCCCAGACGACTACCCTTGGCCACGTCCTGCATTCATTCTCCAAGGCCCAGGGTGGGAGGAAGGGGTTGTGCTATTCCCTGCTCAACTGGCAGTGCCCAGGTCAGGCCCTGGCACAGAGTGGAAACCCAGTATTTGCTAAGTGAATGAACAGGCTGAGTTCCCACCCAACTTATGCTCCTGGTGAAGTGAAAAAGGAAACCAGAAGGCAAGCCTGGGGCTCTGATCCCAGGGCTGAGGTGCATCTGATCGGAATCTAGAAGCTCAGAAACGCAGCACTGTGGGAAGCTCCTCCTTCAAGGGATGCTCTGGGTGGAATGTGGGCTCCCTGAAGGAATGTTCTAGCAGGATTAAGCAGGATTAATGAGGCTGAGGGCCCTACCGCCTGGCAGGTGAAAATCCTTCTCCAGTGGAGAGGCTTTGTGTGGC